ATGATGATAATAATGATGATAATGATGATGATAATAACAACAGTAACAACTATAATAATAATAATAACAATAATCCTAACAGGAGTAGGTTCTAGGAGTCATATGACATTCACTGACAGTTGGACAGTTCAGTGTTTGTGATGAACACAGACACAGACAGCGTTGACCCCTGTCTGCTGTGTGTGTCCCTGCAGCTCTGTCCGACCGTCCCTTCTACGAGGAGTGGTGGTTCCTGCTGGTCATGGCTCTGCTGGGACTTGTTGTCATCCTGGTCCTGGTCTTCACACTGCTGCTGCACGGACACAGCTCCAGGTTCAAGACCTGTGGCAAAGGTCGGTACCAACATCACTCGATGCTGCGTCTATAATGATAAATGTCTATAAATGATAAATGTCTATAAATGATAAATGTCTACTTCAGACTGTCACATGGTTATCTCCAAACCATCGACCAACCATTGCTGTGACAGAGTTCTCTCACCAATGACACTGGTTGTTCATAAAACCCACTGAGCAGAAGGATGGAACCGATGCCCTGGTACCGATGATGTCAGCCCGGTGTCTGTTGTCACACTGATAACAACATTATAAATCCCTGATCATCTGTATCCATGAGCCGTCATTCCAGATATTGCCACAGTGTGTCATGGTTTGACCGCTTCATTACATGGTTAGGCTCATTCGTTAGCACAACAGGAGGTTGAGGCTCATGTGACACATGACAGCCAATCATGGCTGGGTTTGTTATCTGAGGGTTACAGGTTCAAATCCCAGGCTGGCGGTTTGAGTGTTTGTGTGTCTGAACTGCATCACTGAAGGATTGGTGTGTACAGTGTGTACAGCCTACACTGGTCCTGGTAACCATAGTAACCAGAAGCTTCTCTCTGAAACGACCTCTTCTTCTGGGCTTTGATGAAATGAGGAGTGACGTTGACCAGCGTGTTCCTGGTCCAGACCGTTTCATTTCCATTTACTTTACCGTCGGTGATGTCTGTGTGATACAAGTGCAGCTTTAATAATGCATCAGTTCACTCCTCCTGTATTTGGAGTGAAATTGCCTCCAGCGCTCTTGTTCCTACAGGAGCGCCGGCTTCTGTAAGAGAGAAAAACAAGGTCATCTTTGTTCTTTTACCGCCGCGGTTCAAGTCCTGAAACCTCTGAGTGAAACCGAAGGAAGGGTTTGAATCAACATGTAGATTCTTCTCTGTGGAGGAAAACAGAATGTTAAAAGAATTCTTCTCCGTCTGCTCAGCCTGTGTCTTCTAACGTAATTGAATTTTTATCTGGATTCTTTTTAACTGGAACATTTGACTTTTTTTTTTCTTTTGCTGTTTTTGTTTTCAGCCTTTTTACTTGATTCGTGTGAAGCAGTTTTATTTATTCATGGTTTATTTCAGTGAGAACAGAAACACGTCCACGGACAAACAGCTGTTTGATGGTGTTTGTAGCAGATGTTTATTTGCAACATCTGTTCCTAAAAAGGCTTTTATAGACGTGGTTAACACCGTGAGCTGAAGGATAAATGAAATGAAGACTTTGGTCAGATCACCACCACGGAGCTCCGCCCCCACAGTGTCAGTTGGACAGAATCACCGCCCGCGGCTCAGCCTCGTCTGTTCACCAGCATCAGTGTGAAGATCAAGCCGTTCATCTGTGACGCTGCTCCTTCTAAGACCCAGCTTTACTTCACTGTCCTCCTCCTCCTCCTCCTCCTCCATCCTCTTATGTTCTTACTTACAGTCTCAGCCGTCAGTCTGTGTGTGTGTGGGGGGCGTCTGAATGGCAGATTACATGTGGCTGGGTGATAATCCTGGCTGCTGTGACGACTCTGAACATTCACTGGACAATGGAGTGATGAACCGGGCTGAGGGAGGTGTCGTGGGGGGGGGTTTATAGGATTGGATTTAAAGAAAAAAATAACAGCAGCATCTGTTTATGATTTAATGTTTGGTTGATGGGGTTTTTTTTGTACCAAACTGATAAAAGTGTCACCGACTCGTCCTCAGTGAACTGGAGGCTGAGCTCCGTGGGTGACGGGTGACGGGTGACGGGTGTGGGTGACGGGTGTGGGTGACGGGTGTGAGGACATCAGGCTGGAGGGTGATCAGATCACATGACACTTCAAACAAAAGAAACAAATATTTCTGAACAAAACAGAGTGAGCAGAGCGTTTACACCAGTCAAACAACTGAAAACACGATCAGATGTGAAGACGTCTGGTGAAGGTGTCGGGGAATCCCTGGACACATGACGCAGACTTTTCTGTTTTACTTCCAGAACCTTTTATTTTCTGTCCAGTCTGACGTGTGTGTATGTGTGTGTTTGTGTGTGTGTTCTGTTCAGGGAAACACTTGTCCACGGCAGAGGAGACGGTGACTCTGGACAACGGAGGCTTCACTGCTCTGGAGCTGAACAGCAGAACACTCAACACCAAGAACTCCTTCCTGAAAAAGAACGGCACCAGGTGAAAACACACACACACACACACACACACCCACCCACGTCTGATGGGTCAAAGTTGACACGTGAACTTACTGTAAGGTTGTTTTGGATTCATGTGTGAGCAGATCTCCCCCCAGGCCCAGTCCTGGTGGTCTCCACTACTCTGACGAAGACATCTGTAACAACTACAACGGAGCCGTCCTCACTGAGAGCACCACCCTGACAGAGAAGCCCACTGAGGTCTCTGAGTCAGAGGTATCTGTGTCAGTCTGTCCACCCATCCAACCATCCATCCATCCATCCAACCATCCAACCATCCATCCATCCATCCAAACATCCATCCATCCATCCCTGATTCTGTCAGTCACTTTTTCGTCCCACTTCATGTCTTGAAGCTCGTGACCTACAGAACCAAATCCATTCATTACTTTTTTGAACTTTGAACTTGATCTGTTCTGTCTTCAAATGTGATGAAGAGATAATCAGTAAATAAAACACATACGTTTGAAGATCAGTGTTTATTTTAACAGTTTAAAATTTAAAAGACAAACAGAGTTAGAAACAAACAAAAACACTTTAATGACGTCTTGTGTAGTGAACCAGCAGGGGGAGCCATTGTGAAATGATTGGTATTAAACAGAAATCCCATCAACTTACTGTCAAATGTGTGTGTGTGTG